TCTTGCCGGGTTATTTATTACTTCGACACTCTTGCACTTGGAAGAAGACATCAATCTTTTAGTCGTGTCATAGATTTTCTATCTAATAAAGAACCACCCAAAAATAAGAGGCATGACTTACTATTTATAAGCAAATATAAAAACCCTTATAAGTTGATAAAATATCAATTTACCCCCTGAATAATATTCATATATTATTTAAGGATAATTTTACAAATTTAATCAATCAAGTCCCCACTTGGTTATTCTAGAATTATAATTATAATCTCTAAATTAAATAAATTCTAATGCTTAATTTATAAAAATTATTTTCAAACAAGCCAAACTTGATTAATTATCTCAGTTTAAGTTTTGAATAATGGTTCTTAAATTGTGTGACCTAGTAGGTTTCTAATATGTTGGTTCAAAAATAAATTCTAATTCTAATTAAATAAAATTAAATAAATTAAACAATTTAATTTATTATTAATTCAACAAATTATTAATTTATATTTGAAGATCAGGTGCATCGTCTAGCAACGTGTCATGATCCCTAAAATATTAGAAAAGTCATTAGTGGTTCAACTTAACCTTTCAGTGATTGGTTTCTAAGTGTAATTAATATCATGTAATCAATAATGTTCTGATTTAATATTAAAGTATATAGTATGTTTGTCATGTTTTCTATATAATAGTCATTGATCCTTTTAATATGATTTGAAACTCTTTTCAAATCTCATTTCACCTTGGCTAATGATTTTTCAGTCAATACTATTTGAGAACAAATGAAACATTTTCCATAATTCACCTAGGGTAATGAATCTTCTCTTAATCACTAAAATACATTCATATAATTATAAAGCCTACTTCTAATAGATCTAATGTTGAATATTTGAATCAAAAAAAAAAAAATCATCATCCATATTACTCAACAATGTAATGCAAGCAATAAAGTTCTTCATTTCCCAAGCCTCATAAGTTTTACGATTCCTTATATGTTGGGCCATATCACCATTTTCTAGCTTTTACATGAACACTTTTAGCGTTTTTAGAGCCGCTTGCTCCTTAAGTACATATTGGGTTTTTATTCTCTAAATTTTATAATTGTCGCCATTCAACTTCTTGCACTTATTGAGTTATAGTAGTTGTCATTTCTTTTGTGCTCATAAAAATTATTTTGGTACTTATAGGTTCACATTTAATTATGCCTAAACATACATACTTATATTTAACATCAACTAAGTATGTCATCAATGACTTTACATTATGTTTAGAATAAAAGGCTCACTATGTTCATAATCATTATCTATGATCCTAATGTGTAACTATTAGTAATTAATTATGTAAGGATCGTAAACTTAAAATAACATATATTTTAATAATTCAATACATTTATAATTCCAATTTAAACATGGAATTACACTATGTTGAAACACATGCATACATGTATGAACACATATGAACTATAAATTTATGTTCACAACATATATAAATTTATCATGACTAATCAATACACGTATCATTAATTTAAAATTGTGTATGGAAATAAATTTACAATAATTAATGCTTTTGTTATGCAATTAAAACATAGAAAAGAATCACACACATAACAAAGAGATCATTTTTATTTCACAGAGTCAATAATTTTTTTATTGTATAAAAAGAACAAACACCTTGAGCAATCTAATAGTCTTAATGGAATGTCATGCTGCAATCAAGGTCTCAAATCCCAGCAAGCACACTTATTTCTTCTTAATATAATTATTAATCAGATCAAACATGTTATTTAGATTAGAAAACAACAACATTAAGCTTTGATATCAATGTTGGAAAAACAATTAGCAATAAGGAGAAAATTATATAATTATGCCCCTTTGAAACTTGTATCACTAGTCATAATCATATTAAATAATAAATAATTATGACATGGAGTTTGCTTTGAGAGTCCTTTCTTTCCTTTTACTATTTTATGTTCTGCTTTTTCTTACTATCTTATTATTGTTTGTTACTATTAACATAAATATTTATAAGAGTGAAGAGTTATAAGCTTTAACAATTATTGTCATATATAACTTTTCATTCTTTTCTCTTATAGTACCTTAGTAATATAAATAACATTAATATGGATTGTGTAGACCCATCATAGGTGACCCAAATCCATTTTTTCCTTCAAGATAGAACTAGCATCTTTTCAACTTTTTTTTTTTACATTCTTGCTTAGAAATTGGTTTATTTAACTCAAGCAATTCATTCTTCTTTTGTTGTTTAGAATAATTGTTACTCAAATATCTGATTTTATCACATTCTAAAAGATGAACTAATCGACTATGTCACCTTTAAATATTGTTAGATATAACTCTTTTTTACTTTTTTGTTATTGTGTTACTGTTAGCAGACATATAAAGGTGAAGAGTTACACCTTTGACATTTATTGTCAAATATAACTCTTAATTATTTTCTTTTATATTACCTTAATAATATGAATAATATTAATATGGATTGGGTTGACCCATCATGGGTGACCCAAATCCATTTTTTCCTTTAAGATAGAACTAGCATCTCTTCAACTTCTCTTTTTACATTCTTGCTTAGAAATTGGTTTATTTAACTCAGGCAAATCATTCTTCTTTTGTTGTTTAGCACAAATCTTACTTAAATATCTTATTTTATCACATTCTTAAAGGTGAACTAATCAACTAATTACTACGTCAATCTTTAAATATTGTTAGATATAACTCTTTTTTATTTTTTTGTTATTGTCTATTACTGTTAGCAAACATATTTATAAGGATGAAGAATTATAACCTTTGACAGTTAATGTCATAGATAACTCTTTATTATTTTCTCTTATATTACCTTAATAATATGAATAATATTAATATGGATTGAGTTCAACCATTATAGGTGACTCAAATTCATTTTCTTTTTTAAAATAAAACTAGCAGTTATTTTAGGGACCCATTAATGCTTAAAAATTGATTTATTTAACCCAAGCAAGTTATGGATGAAATGAGATATTTGGGTAACAATTGTCCTATATTGCAAAAGAATAATGACTTGTTTACTTGACGATACTGTGTTTAAAGAAGCCTTAGAGTGTGTTTGTTTAAGAAATGCATCACACGATGCATCTAATGAAGATCATGAAATACATGATGTGCGTCAACAAACACACTATTAATTAAGTTGGAATGAGAGTGTTTTGGTAAAGCAGTACACCAATTTTCTTATTGTCTTCATATATATATATATATAAAGACAAGTATGGATTAAGTTTTGTATAGGGTTTGAAAAATATTCATAGTAGATATTATCTATTGAAAAAAATAACTATATAAAAAATTAATTTAGTATATATTGAATTTGGATTAAATTATTATCTCTAACAATATATTTGATTCTCATGTGCTCATAAATCCAACTCTTCATTCCATATATTTTTCTTTTCATATTGTACATATGAGATGAGATATGGGAGTTATCTATTCTTATATTTAGTGCCCCTGAGTGGTACTTAAAAGTGCATTTTTATCAAAGTTTTACATCATTATTTTACACTTTAAGTATCAATAACTCATTAACTAGAGCATGTTTTATAATAACATGTCTAATACTATAAGATATCTTTAATTTATGATAAATATTTATCTTAAATGAAGGGCTATCACATAAATAAAAGGATTGATTGATGAGTTTAACTACTCAAATTGAGAAGACAAAGAGAGGGCTAAGTTTAGAAAAGAGATGATGGTTCAGTCCAAACTGGAACACTATTCGGTTATTGGATCATAACTGGAGTTGTAAAACTTGGATTTAGGTCTAATATATATGGATTGAAAGCTAAGATATAGGCCTAGTCTAAAATCAAAAGGACCATTTTCAAGTTCAAATTGCAGCAACAACAGAGAAATCAAAATCTTTCCTGTAGCCTAGATAGTGTTTAGTATTCAACTCATATCTCGAGTTCTAGAAGTTCAAATGCCCCTTCTTTTTTTTGTTGAAAAGCCGAGATAATTTTCTAGAACTTTCATAAAGGCTATCTGTTCAAATTATGATGTTAGCAATGACGTTTTGTTTAGACAAGAAGATAAGGATAGTCACCAAGTCAAGATGTGGTCACCCAGTCAACAATTAATCATCAAATCAATAGTTCTCAATTTTGGCCTATAAAATGAGATATTTTTCATGTATTTAGGCATCTTGGTTTTCATATGAAGATCATGTTCTTGCTCTTTTTCTTTATATTTTTGTAATGCTTAAGTTTTGCTTTCATTAATTTCTTATTTATGTCTTTCATTTCCTTTACTATACTTATATAATCATGTTCTCCTCTCGTTTATTTATGTTTCTCTTCTTTATTATGTTTAGCTAAATTTATTATGTTAAAGTGAAAAGGTTTCACTAACGGTGTTAAGATAAGTATAATATAAACTCAATATGGACTTCAATTATTATATCCTAAACAACTTGCTATTAACATGTCTTATCATTCTTATCTTATTAATTCTTAATACCTTGCTTGTTAAATGGTTAATCTAGATTTGTGTTGTATAACACTTGGTATAACAAATACTTGCACTTTCATAGCATAGTGGTAAATTATACCAGCCCCCATTTTTCTTTTTTTCTTTGTTAAAGTGATAAACTTCTTCTCTTTTTTTTTTCACTGAAAACTAATAATAATAATCATTATGTTAAAAATAAAGAAAAAATAAGAACAAAGATATTTAGAATAAATATTAAAATAGAAATTCATACCTTTCTTAGTAGGAATTTTTTCAATTGCCAGAATATAAGACAAATAATCTATTTATAACAAAAGAAAATATGAACATTAAATGACATTAGAAAACCCAAATGCCATGGAAATCCAAGAGATTAAACTCAAGAGTCATGGAAGTCCAGGAGGTTCTAATGGACATTCAATATATATAATTATGTATCTTATAAAAATCCCTCTTAAATGACCATGTACTGAAAATGTGTCTCATTAAAACTTTGCATAGGAAAAACCAATGAAAAGCAAAGGAAAAGGAGTATAACATTCTTGTGTGATTTATGAATACTTTATAATTCAATAGAGGATTTTATATAGATACTTCAAGATCCATATTTGAATACTTCGGGGTTTAAAAAAATGTCAAGTTGCCTTTTTAAAACATTGTAAAGTAAAAGCTAATGGAAAAAAAACCTAAGCAAAAGAAAAGCAATATAATTTGCATTGACTTCATTTGAAAATTACATGTTTTATAATAAGTCTTTAAGATGACGCATTCTAATATTATGGATAAGTTTCTTGAAAGTTGAAACTACTAAAAACTTTATAAATAAGTTTACTAAATTAACACTTAAACTTATTTGTTTTACATCAATTTTTCCTTTTTGTTAAAGCTCATGAATATAAAAGAATTTTGGTGAGATATCCTTTGTTTTGACTCCTTTAATGTAGCATCCTCTAAGTTAAGTAATGCAGGCAGCATTATCTTCAAATAATATTACGGGACTATCTTCAATGGTTGATAATCCATATTTCTCTTTTAAGTGTTGGATAATTGACCTTAGCCTTATATATTCTCAACCTACTTCATGGATTACAATAATTTCTAAATTATTTGATGAAGTAGTCACTAATGTTTGTTTGACAAATCTCTAAGAAATCACAGTACCTTTATAG